ATGATAAGAGTAAGAAGCTGGGCTCCCTTTTGGGTGGGGCTGGAGTATTTCCTGTTTGGGGGTTAAGACTTCTGGAATCAGAATCAATTTCCTAAAACATACCACGTTGAATTGAGCCCCAGAGACGTGTTTTGCTGTCTGTAGTCTGTTCCTTTTAATGGTAGAAAACATTACAAAATTCTCACTTCACATCTTCCTATTCTTAACTATTCTTGGGAGGAATCAAATCAGAAGAGATTGAGATTGGAGTCTCTTTATCAAATTCTCCGTAGAATAAATGATCTGAACCAACACCACAGCAGTCAGTATGTTGTCTCTGCAAGGAGACCGCAACAGTAATTATGCACAGGGTAAGTCGCTTAAAAAATAAATTGATCAATTTTGAAAATTAGGCGTGGAGGTAAGAAGGAACCTGAGGATTTTTATACTATTTTTGTGATATAATCAGCTGTAGCCAAGAGAGTCACTTTATAATATGAATATTTTTGGCTTTAGTCCCACATTTTCTTCAGAGTTAACTACCATAATCCTTTTCATTAGTCTGACAGAGTCTGATGACTCTTGTCCTAGAGTGAAGCACCCCTCCCAACTCCCCTATTAATAGATTGGGACCTAGTGTGATAACAGCACTCTTATTTATGAGCAAGATCCTGGGTAGACTAAGAAAGATAACTGAGGCAGACTTTTATATGCTTATTTATTTTTCCTTCTTAATCCTCTTAAAATGAAAATACTGAGCTTTTCTCTTGATATATTTTACATTTGTGAGGAAAGATAGCAATGCAGTTAATAGGAGGAGCATGACCCTTGGATTCAGACAACCAATAATTCAAATCTCAGCTTCAATACCTTGTAATTGTGTAAACTTAGTTCTCTACACCTGAGTATTCTCCTAATAACTACTTTGCAGAGTTGCTATAAACATTAGTGTAAACAATAGACACTCAAATAGAGCTATTATTATTATTATCATCAATTATTCTGACCTGCAGAAACACACAAGTTCCTTGGAAGTATACATATTTGGAGAGTGGTTAGAGATGGGGTATTAATGTAGTTTTATTTTTTTGTTTTTTTTCCATTCATTCAGTATATGCATGTGTATATGTGTGTATTTGTGTCTATGAGTGTGTGTGTGTGTGTGTGTGTGTGTGTGTGAATTTTACATATTATGTGTCAGGCAACATTTCAGGCACTTTGGTAACATTAATGAATAAAACAGACAAAAATTTCTACCCCCTCATGGAGCTTACATTATTGTATTGGGTGCAGCTAGAAGCTGATAAATTCTATGGAAAAGTTAAGCAACATAAGAGGGATAGGGTGTTGGGAGTGGGTTGCAATTATAAATAGGGAGGTCAAGGCAGGCCTTACTGTGAATATTACATGGGTTTTGTTTCTTAGAGGTTTTCAGGTGCTATCATTTAGAATGGGAGAAGGGGAAGAATAGAGGAGAGTACAGGAAAGAATAGGAGCTTGCTGATTTGGAGTAGAGCATAAGTATTTCTTTTATGTAACATGTGTCAAAACACAAACTAATAGAGAAGAGTGAAGTTTTCCAGATGGCCTAGTTTTATTTTATTCAATTTGAACCAAAATCTTCCTTAAATGCTTTATACACACCCTGCCTTCCCAAACGATGGATACTGAATCCAGTCCACCTGGTCTGTGCCTGCTGCAGGAGGTCATCGCTGTGACTGTTGCGTCTGTTACTGGACTGTCAGGAAGCAAGGCCCTCAGGGCCAGCTATTTTCCCACGTGATGGCTGAGCCTGCAGTGATTGTGAATTCTACGTAGTAGCTACTACGCTCATATGGCTATTTAAATTTAAATGTAAATTAATGAAAATAAATGACATTAGAAATTCAGTTTCTGAGTCACATTAGTCACATTTCAAGTACTCAATAACCACATATGTCTAATCACTACTGTGTTAGCACAAATATAAAACATTTCCAACATTGCAGAAAATTCTATTATTATTAGTTATTTCACGTGTTCCTGTCTCTGACATTGGTTTTTGTGGTATCACTATCAGCTTCCAAAATGATCTCTTCCTTTTGATTAGTTGTTCCTCATAGTTTATAGGTTTAAATTCTAAATACAAGACTTAGAATTTTGTGTAAAGTAAGAGTAACTAGGCTCTAAGAAAGAGCTTTGCTATATTCAAGTACCCAAGTTTTCATACTTGGCATTGATATTCCTATTCTGACTGCCCCAAGGCCTTTTTTACTTGGTTATTTGTGCAGCTGTGGTCTGGGTGATAAGAGAATCAGACTGCTGAGTTATTGTGGGACTTCTATGGAAATGCTTTAGACCCAGTCAATCGTCCCTTATTTGGAGCAGTGCCATTCAAGAAGTGTTTTTTGACTGATTGCCTACATATACACCAAGCACTGGGCCTACATATACACCAAGCACTGTGCTAGGCCCAGGAGATACAAACAAAAATGAATTTGGCCCCAAACCCTGAGGAGATCACAGTTAAGGTGGTAGAGAGAGTCATAAATAGGCAGAGTTTCCTTGTCCAGGGCCCAGGTATGCCCAGCACACTCGGAAAGTCCGGAGGAGGGTGGTGCATGAGTCAGCCTTCCCGGGGGGTAGGCAGGAGGGGGATCAGACAAGAGACCAGAGGCCAGAGAATGCTCCCTAAAGGAGTGATTCTTAAATGGCATCCTGAGGGATAAATAGATGTTAGTCACGTGATGAAGTTGGGAGAATGGGGTCAATAAGATATGATGTACTATAGTCTGAACAAAGACACTGAGGAGTGAACTAGCATGGTGAGAGCGGGAACTTTACCTTTAGTATTGATGGAATTTAAAATAAAAGGGAACCTGTGTCTGTAGAGATAGGTTGGAAGTGACGGGTTTTCAGCAGAGATGGAAGAGGGGCAGGGGGATGGTGACATAGGCTGATCTGACTTTTTAGCGGTTCAGGTAGTTCACTCTGGCAGCTCTGTTGAGGTTAAGTTTGATGGAGCTGGGCTGGAGGTTGGGACACCAGTGGTGGTGGGTGGAGGTAGAAAGATTCATAGCAATCCAAAAGAGAAATAATGAGGGCCTGATGTGAGAGAGTGTAATGGGGTGGAGCAGAGGACCTGGGTTCAGTCAATATTTAAGGGGTATAATTATCAGTATTTGAGGACTGATTAGATGTGGGGGATGAAAGAGAGACGAAATCAGAGATGACTAAGCTTTCAGGAAAACATTAATTTGAACTATTCTTCCAAGTTCATGGTGATAGGTTTTGACCTATAGCTGCTACGAGTGATTTGCTTTGGCAATTGTATCTAGGTTAGGTTTTAGCTCTTCAGGACTCCATCACTTTCTCATTTGTTAAAAGAACTTGAAGCATAGACCATAGTGAAGTACCACCCTCATATGACTTTAATTTTGGCCTATGAAAATTTATAGAAATTTGGCTTCATTTCTAGTGGCTCTAATCCGGATGCCAAAATTATCACCTTGCTGGGACATCCCTTGGATGGACCATTGAATATGTTATTTATTAGGAACAGCTGAAAACCATCATCAACATTCCCATACTATGCCAACAATAACGCCAGTCAAATTTCAAGGTAACTCCAGGTTTCAGAAAGTTATGAATCTCAAAGTCTGTCTAGCTGAACCCTTATTTGTACTTTTACACATATTTATCATGTGAAAAAGCTAGTGGCTTCTTTACTCTCCGTGATTGTACATTGCTTTTTTTAGATTATAAATTAAGTTCTGAGTTCTGAATGTTGGTGGAGACATGTTTATAGATCAGTAGTCAGTCACTTTAAAGTAAAAGTACGAATTCAGTCTGGATGGTGGAACCGAAAGTAGGAGAGGAGCCAGTCAAAAGCGTCCATTATGATGAGGCCTATGTTGAAAGCAAGAATTCTCTCATGCCTGCAGTGCATTTCAAAAGGATTTTCCAAGTAACAGTTAATATTTTAATGATGTCTGTTAAGCTTCCAGAAAAACCTGGTTCTCTAGTTTGCCAGATTAAGAAAGTAGGCCAAATGTATGTTGATACTTCGGTTTTTACTGACATATTTCATGACTGCATGGCTAAAGCCACAAAACAGTAGGCGCCTGCCACTTTCTTTTAGATAGTTATATTTAGCCACTGTATCTGGCCTTTGTTGCTAAATATTTTTTCCTTGTCACTCTAACTGCTCCATCAAATTGGATCTTCAGTAGTCTGGCAGATTTTGAATGACTTCTTGGAAGCTGTGAAACCCTGTTCCCTAATCAGGAAGATCTGGGCAGGTCTTACAATATGAAGAAAGATGGCACATCTCTTCTAGTGACACAACAGGATTATAGGACAATTACACATCTTCACAATTTTTATCTGAAGAATAGTAGTATGGTTGGTGATGAACAAGTACTGTAAATCGAGAAGCATGGGAAGTTTCCACATCCTTTAAGAGTGTTTAGTATAAAGGAAGAAAGAAAACAAGCTGTCTTTTTGTGGTTCTTGGGAGAGGTTACATTAACCATTTGTTAAAAGTTGGATTTATGAAGACCATTGGCCTCTAAGAACATTCTTCATGAACTGCCATCCTTTGTTTGATGTCAATGAAGGTTGTTTAGCAACATATCAAAATAGTTTTATGAAAAGATAAATATGTGTTTCATTAATCCCAAGGGGAGCTTTCTGAAATGCATTTTCTTTATAAATAATTAGTGTCATTCTGTGAAACTCATGACTTCTTAGGGTGGGAAAGAAGGAAAAAAAGCTATCTTTTCAAGCAATTTGTGATTTAATACCAGCTGGTCAAGTGAGTTGAAAAACCGTATGTTATATTATTTTGAATGCCTTTTTGCTCTCTTGGGAAACTGGCTAACCCCCACAATATTTCTCCCATGGCAAATGGCTCTGAAACTTTGATCTTCTCAAACCCGTTTGCCAGATGTAGCGGAGAGAGCATGTGTGACCTTTTGTGTGCCAATTCAACCTGGCTGATCGGAAACCATAAGTTAATCTTGTATGACTTTTATTTCTAGGCATTACAGCAGAAGTTCTGGTGGTGACCTCTTTTGATGAACTGCAGAGAAGGGCCCCAGAAGCAAGAGGGAAGATTGTTGTTTATAATCAACCTTATACCAACTACTCGAGGACGGTGCAATACCGAGTCCAGGGGGCGGTGGAAGCTGCTAAAGTGGGGGCTTTGGCATCCCTCATTCGATCTGTGGCTTCCTTCTCCATCTACAGGTTGGTCATTATCTTCTGAAATATTTTAAAAAACTAGGGTTTTTCATGAAAGAGTAGGCTTTATGAAATAAAAACAAACGATTCAAATGAAAATACTGATTGTTCATGGAATTTCCCCCCATTCCACATTTGGTCATTTGTTTGTAATATCTTCTTTGGCCTTTCCAGGATTCCAAGCATCATTTGTGCATTCCTTTAAAAAGCTTTCCACATCCTTGATGATCCCATAACATTCCTTATATAACCAATATATTATGTATTTTCATTGGAGGGAGAATTGAATTCATGTCTGTGTTTCATCAAAGATTCCTAATGACTTCAGAGGAAGCCAGGCTTTTTTCCATTGTTGCTAGAGAAGTGAAATAAAATAAAGTGGATAACATGATGGGGGTCATCTATTGTATAATGGGAAGAGTTGAGGAAGCAGAGGACCTTGATTATAGACCTGGTTCTGCTCCTGAACAACTGTGTGGCCTTGGAAATATTCTTAAACCCTCTGGGCCTCAGCATTCTCCTCTATAAATCAGTGATGATGAAGAATAACAAACTTACAAAATTATTTTAAGAATAAATGAGGTAAACCTTTTGAAAGATATGTGATTATCTATAAAGGTCTATATAAATGTCTGGTGGTATTGTTTGAGGGCAACATAAGTTTTGTTTTTTTCTTTGTAGTTCTGATTGAGGTAAGTATGAAGTGCTTTATTGACCCTCAGTCTTAGGATGAAATTCAACATTGCAGTGGATAAAAGGTATAAAAATTGACTCGCGGACATTTGGCCTAGTTTAATAGCTACACATGGTAGTGTCACACATTAAGGATAAAATATTTGAGAAACATGGATAAAAGAAGCACCATTTTAGTGTTGTCACCTGGTCTCTCAGGTAAAAAAACATGAAAAAATAATTACAAATAGGGTTTATGTGGGTCTCAAAACTAGATTTTTAGTATCTATTGTAAAGGAAAGTTTATTTATTTTGCACAATTGCTGTTTGGAGCTGGAGACACAGCTGCTTAACCTTAATTAGCACCCTCCACCCTTGAAAATAAAGTAATTGAGGAGGAGACATTAGCAACTAGGAAACCACTCAGAAGGGAGTTGTCCAAAAGTGCAGATAAAAAAGGAAAGGGACATATTTCTTTTACAGGGATAAGGTATCTTCCCAGGAGAGGAAGATGGGACATGTTAAAACCATTTGTTAGAAGTTTTATGAGAGAAAAACTAGTTCCACTGATGTCATAGTGCTAAAAATAATGTTCTTTGTAGAGTCTTTAAAGGTTTAGTGACTAGTGAAATAATAATAGGGCCATATTCTTTCGGATGGTTAATCTTCCCAAGAGGGAAGTCTTCAAATGGCTAGCTTACTTCCCAGAATACCTCAGTCACTCCTTAGGAAAACATACTGAGCAAGCTGTGGTCATTCACCCTGAATTTCACTGGTCGTGAGACCTAAATTATGGAGCTAACCTGTTGCTTTGTGAGACTGGGTGATTGCCAGAAATATTTATTTAAGAACTGCTATTCATAAGACTAATAAATTCCCAGGTGATTCAATGCACTGCAATCTGCCAGGGCTAATTGGCATTTTTTTTTCTGGTGTAATGAAGACATCTGGAAACCCAGGCTATAAGCTAGGAGCCCCAGAAGAGTTTTGTCCAACATAGGCCTTAGAAATCTGTTGTTTGCCTCAAAGATTTGAGGTGAGCCATTTGTAGTGTGTATTAAAAATACATTTTTCTTAATATTTATAGATCTGACTGATTATAATTTTTATTAATTTTATAGCCAACCATATTTCACTGGAGTCTTGACATTTATAACTCCATATTTTCAGCATTTATAAATACATAATAACATTGGCCTTTACATAGTACTTTAGAATCTTTCACGTGTGTCATCTTATTTGTTCTGACAACAACCCAATGGACCAAGCAGAAGGGGCATTATTGTCCCCGTTTTACACATATGGAAATAGAAGCTCAGAGAATTCAGCATATTAACACGTTTAAGTCTTGCATCCTGAAAAATAAAAAACAAAATGAAACAAACTCTTTGTCCACCTCTAGCTAGTTGTTTCTTAGAGCCAATTTTCCTTAAATAGTATTTTATATTCCTATCTCTAATTCTTCATCTCTCATTCACTCTGTAGACCTTTTTAACCTGGCTTTTGCCAGTACTGACATGGAGCTTGTTAAGGTCACAAATAGCTGCCTAGTTGTCAAATATAATGGACATTGCTCAGGCTATCTCCTTATTCACCTCTCTGAGGCATTTGTCACTATTGACTGCTTTTTCAATATCCTTTCTCTTTGGCTTCCATGATTTCTTTTTCATATTCTCTCTTTCTCTCGCTCTTTCCTTCTTTCCTACTTTCCCTCTTTCTTCCCAATTTTTCTGGCTTCTCCTTCTGAATATTCTACCTGAGCAATCTCATCATGCTTATGACTTCAACCACCATCTATACTGTGACACTTTCCAAACCCACCTTTCCTCTCCATACCACTGCCTGAGCTCTAGGCCCGTACATCCAACTACCTGCTGATTCTTCTTCTGGATGGTCTATAGCTATCTCAGTTTTTTTCAAAATTGACCTCATCCTTTCAGCTCTTTCTCCTGCATTTTCTGTCTTAGTGAGGAGACTGCCATCTATTCTGCCTTTTAAGTTAGATGGTCCTTGATTATTTTTTTCTCTTCCCTTATCCATCATTTCTAGTAGTTACTACATCTCCTAGGTTCTGCTCTTTATCAGGCATTTCAACAAATATATATTGAGCAGCTCCATTTCCCAGCATCACTCCACATCCTAGTTTGCAGGAATCACTAATACTTTCCCAGTGCCCCACATTTCCTCAAAATTTCATGACTTTGCATATGCTTTCTCCTCTGCAACTGTCTATTCCCTTCCTCACTGTCTCACACTGTCCTTCAAGATTTGTTTTCAGTGTTTCTTCTTCTGGGGAGCCCTCCTTGATATCTAGCTATAGCCCAGGTCAGCTACCTCTTTTTAGTATTCCTACATCATCCTGTGCATACTCTCTATCATAATGTCTTAGGGGTAATTTTGGTTCATGCTTTGGTAGGGTAGACTAACTGTTGTAACAAACAACTTCAAATCTCAATCACTTAACAAAATAGGAGTTGATTTCTTGCTCACATAATAGTTCCAAGAGAGTGTTTAGCAGGTGGCCTTCTGTTCCTTTCCATCTTGTGGCTTCATCACTTCTAGATCTTAGAGTTCTCTGCGGTGTCCTCTGCATCCAACTGGCAAGTAAGGAGATAGAGAGAGAAAGTCCATAATCAAAAGGGAGGTTTTCCATGGCCAGGCCTGGATATGGTATACCTCACTTCTACTCTCATTTTGCTGGCCAGAATGTAGTTATGTGGAGGCTGGGAAATTTGTTCTATCTTTATGCCCACAGTGAAAGGTAAATGAGTTTTGTGAACTGTCCAGTCTGTCCCAATTGCCTGAGTCTACACTAGACTGTAAATTCCAGAAAGACATGGATTATATTTTTTTATCTCTGTACCCCCATCATCTCATACAATGTTTGTTACATAATAGTCACCCAAGAAATGTCTATTGAAGGAACTTGTCTGAGGTCCTAGAGTCAATCGTGGCAGGACTCTTACGATGAACCATGTGACCTGATTCCAAGTGCTCTCTGACCAAACTGTGTAGCCTCTGTATAGTAAGTTCAAAACAACTTGAACTTTTAGGGCACTTTGCTCTGTATTTGGAGGAAAATATCCAGATGCCCAATATTCCAGATTAGATCCTTTTTCTGCCACAACATTCATGAGCAATGCTGTTTTGAGTTGCTGATTGGATAAAACAGTTCCCTTCTCTCTGACAGATGTTTCACCCTTAGCTCTAGGGGAGTGGGTGATATTGTATTCTGTCTAGGAATTGCGTAGAAGTCAGCAACACTAGAGAACAGAATATAAATTGTAATTTGTTGCTGCTTGACTTCAAAATTAGAGAATCACCTAAAGGAGAGGAAATGTGTTTTATTTGACTTGACACTTGTCAGTGCAATTATCAATATTTGTCAGCCATTTGGAAGTACAACAGTCACAGGGTGACATGACAGATGTCCTCAAAAGACATCTGTAAAAAGCCCATTACTTATTGCCAGCATTAGCTCCAGGTTCATTGTTGTTATTTCTCTATATTCCCATCATTAGTGTTCTTGTGCTCAAACTAACTTCAAAGAGAAGATTTTTCCATCATTGACGCTTTTATAATGACTTTTCTTTTGTTCACCATTGAGTATCAACTGGGACTCCCATTAGATCTTTTTTAGTTTTTCTGTACGTAAAATACCTTTTGCCTTTTTTATAGGAAAGTATTTTAAGGATAAATGTAATCAATAAGGCATTTAAGTTCTGTCGAGGAAACCTTCTTTATGGAACCATTTATCTTACATTATTTCTCAAATGAATCATATTTTTTTAAGCAAATATTTATTGAGAACTTACCAGGTGCTCAGAAGTTGCCAGGCACTAGTGTTACTAAGATAAATTAGACATGTCTTTTTTTGTCTCTCAGAAATATTCTATCTGGCTAGAAGAGAGGAGGGTAAGCTTAAAATACCAATTACTAGTGTAATATATTTTATATTTAGTGATAAATGCATGATTAGGGGAAAGGGATGAAGGAAGCAAATTAACATTTATTAAGTACCTACTTTGTACTATGCTTCTCTGAAGGCTTAAATAGTTTGTTTCAATTAATTCTTTATGCAACTCAATAGAAGGACATATTGGTATCTCTCTTTTACTGAAGGAGAAACAGGTTCAGAATGATTAAATGGCTAGTCAAGTTACACAGCTAATGAAAGAACTAGGATTCATACTCAGAGTCTCTGGTTCTAAATTCCAGGCACTTTAGATCACACCAAGCAACCTAGAGAATTAATGCTGTAAGACTTGAGAAGAGGTAGCATAAGTCTGATTAAGGCTGGCTTCATTGAGAATGTGGGGTTTGGGTGTACTCAA